CCCCCCTTTAAAAAACCCTGCTGAAGAAGACAGTTAGGTCGAAACGCGTGTAGGTCACTCTTATATCCTCACTTTTTATGGAGTCCCATAAAAATTTCAGCTACTTTAGTTTCTATATATTATCGTAGTTTCCCTAGTTTTTTTACGTACATGTTCATCATAGGAGTCGGAGTAAAGAAATGAAGAACAACTATTTTTTTAATACTGGTCCTCTCATTATTTAGGCTACACAATATCTTACACCAGTACTTGTCCAATTACCTATTATATACCAAAATATGTAAAAACAAAAAACTAAAAAATGTATATACATGCATAAGAAAAAATATCGTGCAAGTCCTCTGACTGACAAAAAAAAATCGAACAGTGTCAGGAGGCGGAAAAAAAATATCGAGCAAACTGAAAATCTACCCACTCCCCCATCAAAAATCAAATGGTCCGTCCCCTAAGGGTCCTAGTGTTATAGTAGTTGCAAACACAAACAGATTATGGAATTGTAATGTAATCATTAGTGACAGATGATTTCACCTTTTGTGATGGATGGTGCGTAGTTCATGATTACATAGTAGGACTTGTTCACTATGAATTTTCTGGCCTCTAAGACTAAATTATATTCAAGACTAAATATAAATAACTTGTCATATGTAGTGTGATACGAGTATAATATGTATATATTTCAGGTGTTTATAATAAAAAAGCTTTAACAAAATAAGGATGACGCTGTATAGTCATGGGATATTTTGCAGTAATTTCCGCCATTCATCAATGCAAGCTAAAAAGTTATAAACAACGGAACAAAATAGTGAATAGAGCCAGAAAATTGGTTTTATCGACACGTAGAACGAGCCTCAATTCTGAATAGTTGTAATTCTGGTAACACCATGCATGCATATTTATTAGCAATTCAGGCCTGTTTCAAACGTCGCGCTTGTGCCGAACGCATTAAAAACAATAGATAATCAGCTGAAATACCTCGATCATTATCTATATATTAGAGAGGTTAAGATACCCCGGTTTCGGTGTACGTGTACGGGTAGCATGATTTTGGTTAGCAATATTTTCGTCGATGTCTGTACCTTTATACTCGCAATTAAGGTGCACATTTTTCGCATTATATCATTGTCTATTGCAAGAAAACAGAAAAAGTATGATCGAATTACAGACATCAGTAAAACAAGATGACACTACTCGTACCCGTACACCGAAACCGGGGTATCTTTAACCTCTCTATTGTTTCTAATGCGTTCGGCACATGAGAAGCGGGACGTTTGAAACAGGCCTAAGTTTCCAATGTTAGACATAGACTGGGGCATTTTATTATATAATTTTGATATTTTCTGTATAAAATTTTATGTATACTTTATTATAGAACATGGACATGTGAAACATGTTCTTTATTATAGGCAGGGTGTAAACCGCATCCTAGCCGGTTTAACTGAATAGTGTTATGAAAAATGCAATATATCAGAGTTCCATATTAACTTTTCAGTAAATATTGTAAAGAGCTTGGTTAAGTGAAGCTAGGGAAGAACATTTAAAATTGAAACATCTGAAATTTTAAATGAAACGGGTTAAAATTTAATTATGTTTTGGTAAGATATTCATTGTTTTTCAAATGCTGAAGCGGACGCTGATTATCTATGCATGCATGTGATCGGACTGTCATGTATGTTGTAAATTCGGTCCAGACTGCATACACGTCTGCTCCACTAAACCATTTGTTAGAACATTAGAATCCCATGCTAATACAGATCAAGGATATTTAATTTAAAGACGATCATGCATGGTATAAATATGAAAACATTAAACATGTATAGTGTGTTCTGTGCAGTAAAGCCAAAGACAAATTAATTTCAGTTTTTTTAAGGAAACCGAGATTTCTTGCAGGTATAGCTGCATACTATTATATAATTGCGTTTGGTTGCTATTCAGGTTGTCATGCATGCTGAAATGAAACATGGACTTTAATTTGATATCACGGCACAGTACTAGGATTTTGGCTTTATGATTTATACAGACTATATACGACACTCGGCATGCACGCCGCTAATCGAAAGCTCTGACTAATGGATGTTGCTCTGCATAAAAGTTTCATTTGTATATGCATCAGTGCATGCTCTTGCATCTAAGCGTAGTGTTTTACCTTCTAAAATCATGGTTCGAGGAAAAAATCTTATCAACATAATACCATATCTATGCATAATACCGGCAATAAAAACAAAGAACCCAACTCTATCCTGAGTTCCGTGGATCATATCAGCGAGATCCAGCATGGGTCACCAACGGCAAAAATGTGTAGTTTTTGCATTGCATGCAGGTACGGCCAAACCGAAACCACAATCTCTGTGCCACAATGGACTCAGTTTCGTGCGACTCGATGAAAATATGATTAATTGTTGTGCCAATAGAGAGAGCTTCATTGTAAGGCATGTGCACTCATTTGGTGTGCCACCAAAGCTCGAAAACTCAGTGCAATTATCTTGTTGTACAGTAAGACAGTACATAACAACTCCATTCACTAATATATCATAAATGTATTGCAGTCATACTGAGACAGTATTTGGAGACTGGAGTACGTATCGAATCAAAATGTGTTTTAATTGTATATGGAATACTGGATACAGGCATGCATGCATGCCATATGAGTTATCTATGATGCATGCATGCATGCAGGGTGTTAAAAAGTCACATATATTAGAACTATATTAGTCCAAAAACCAATCAAACTTTGTGCAGTTTTGCAATAAAAGCATAACATAGGTCCTTTCTTGCATTTTTGTCTTTGGAGATTAAACCGATTGACAATTGTAATATGTTAATGATAGAAACTCAAGTCAATTTTGCTGAAACGGATGTCAAGATTAGTGATCTATAATAATGTCTGCATGTATGTTTATGTCATGAGTGTGTAACTAAGTGCACCTCTGTTTTATTTTTATGTCAATCATGCTCATTATCTTCGTACAAATATTGTCTCAGCTACTCTTAGTCTTCTTAGACGACTAAATAAACTTTATGACAATCTGAGATTAAACATTGCGAAAATACCATTGGGAATTACCTGTGGGAAAATAATATAGAAGGAATTTTAGATTTCACAATTCATATGATATACGTTATTGCTAATATGCGTGCAGTTGGAGCGCATTGCGTTTCTGAAAGTTCATTTTACATGCACCAGAAAATAATGTATCACTAAGAAAATAAACTTGATCTTCAGTTTCTCAGTATATAGATTTGCAAATTAACATAACATGCAGCAGTAAAGGGTTCATCACTTCATCTAGCCTTTGTCACATGCAGGGTCCGCTGTTTAGAAAATTATAGTACATTCATTACGGTAGTCGGTAGACTTTCCAGTATTGCAGTTAAACCATTGTTATATATACTGTAGATAGACATATTTGAGATTCATTCTAAAGACATTCAGATCACATGTCTGTAGTAGAAATTTCCGTTTGTCAGCATAAAAACTAAATGTGTCCCATTCCTGGACCTGACTGATACTCTATTCAGTAATCGAGTGCAAGTTCAAGAATCAAATGCACGAAAGATTTCAGTCTGCATTTATGATATAAACTTATTTGTCAATCGAATGAGAAACATGAATGCATATTAATATATTCACAGTTCATGGCGAAGACTTATTATCGATGCTCTTATACTTTGCCGTTATGTTAGACCTACTCTATATTGCGTCAAATGATTTAGATACCGTCTCCAAGAGGAAAGTGCATGTTTACTATATAGAGACGCATCAAGCACATAGAAAACAAAATTAAATGAAATAATATAGTGTCATATAATATATATATAGCTGTAACGTTATTGGAAGATATGTGGTTTGGAGTGTCGTTTCATCTCGCTTAATATATCTTGAGAGCATTTTAGTTTCTGAATTCTGTCAATGCCCAAATCTGGATAGCCCTCTTTTGATTTAAAATCGTCACTAATACCTGGTGAAGTATCGGATGATCTTTCGTTAGAAACGGCCTCTATCCCATTATTTTCTATCCCACTAAAACTATTATAACAAATCACTGAACTTTCACCATCTATATCATCCCAATCAGTGTGCAAGTCTGTCAAACTGTTAATTGATAGTTGCTCTTGATTTCTTTCATTTTGTATTTGTGAAATATCTTCAATATTATGTTGACCTCCGTGATTAGCTTTGACGCCTGATGATTCATTGCTCAACTGGTCCAACCGACCGTTGTTGTCAACTTGTCCTTGTTGCGTAGAAACAATCTACGAAAATAATATACGTACTGTAGTTTTGCTCGTGTAATTAAATTTATTGTTCACACAAGAATTCCATATTCTTGAATTTCTCTGGTTTCATATTATTTAATAATGCAAATTTAAGCATGGCCATGGGTTTCTAAATCAGGAGGAGCATCGTAGGCTTGAGCGGGTACGAGATTACTTGAACGCACTCATGCATATTTTCATGCAGCTATAGCGAACTTCATGCCTAGTCGCAGATCCACTCCGTTATCTTTTGCTGCTGCTCACAAAGGAAATCGCAGATTGGTAGTTGAATCTATATAAGTATAATTGCTCAGCGTTTTGTGCAACCCATTCCAGGCGAGCATCTGGTCTACTTGAATGCATTGTTTAGAAGACTTCTTTCTGTATAAGGCTATGGAGGGAGACTATATATACGTAATGTTCAACATATATCTATCGCCGAGGACTGTCTTGGACACGTCTAGCACGAAGATTCTCCATAAAAGGAGGACATTGTCATGAAGCAACATTAATCGAAAACGTCATGCAAAGCACAACCAAATTATCCAGCTTAAAATAAAATTATCCAGCGAATGGCTGTTTTTATACGTTAATATCGTTTAGACGATAATATTGTCTCAGAGCCGTAATATTGTCAAGTGCAAAGTGAAATATTTCTAATATTAAACGACCAATCTAGTTGGCAAATAAATAATTAAACCATTATTATCGTTCCCTGGGTATAAGATCTTTGCATAGACAACAAAATATAAATGTATATATAAGGGAAAGTACTATTATACCGAGGGGGGGAGGATGAAGATGTTAAGGGGGGAGCACCAAAATATTTTCTGGCATTAAAGGGGGAGCTCTGAAAATTCTCGATATACCGAGGGAGGGGGCTATAAACTTTTCAAAGTTTTCGTCTAGCAGGGGCCTGGAGAGTTTACTCCCACCATAGTTAATAGAATAGATGGTTTGGAAACTCATTAGAATAACAATATAACTCATTATTTATGTTAGTGAACGTGTATTCATAAATCTGGTCCTTTATCGTCACGTGCGTATTATATTTTTACCAGATTAACCAATAGCAATATTTTAGGAAAGTTACCTATCCGTGACTCGAACAATAGGGTAAATTGAAAATTGCTATTGGTGGACATGGCAAAAATATAATACAAATGTGACGGTGAAGGAACATATTTATGAATAAATGTTGACTAACATAGATTATTCTAATGAGTTTCCAAACCATCTATTCATGGGAGAGCTCCGCATGTACGTACTAAAATAAGGCTGCATGCATGCATGCATGCATGCATGCATGCACACGCATGTCAAAAATGCATGCAAAAGCACAAATATGCTTCAACTTCTTTCATTTTCATCCTGTTTCTACCTTCCATATGTTTTTTTGTTTTTGGAATTGCTACTTTTTGGCGGGTAAATGACGCCACAAACTTGGCGCCAAAAAATTAAAAATATGCTATTGGTGATTTTGTAAATACATTTAGAAGAGCAGACTAGGGGTACTTTAAAACTGAAATCTGTTAACAACTTTCTACATACAACCATTTTATGGCAAGATATGGCGATACAAATGTGACAAATGTCGAAAAATCCGCCATATGTTACTAAAAATAGAACAAAATGGCGGATTTTTAGAAATTTAAGTCATTATATCTTCGCAAGGAATGGTTGTATTTCGAAACCGATTTCAGTTTTAAGATGAAATTAACTATATAACTTATTTTAATTTTTTGGCGCCAAGTGTGTGGCGTAATGTACCAGTCAAAAAGTAGCAATTCTAAAAACAAAAAAACATATGATATGTAAGAATGATATGTTCTATGTTCATGGGAAATTTAGCAGAAACGGGATGAAAATTAAAGAAGTTGGAGTATGCATGCATTTTTGACAGGTATGCGAAGTCGAAATTTACAGCAAATGCCAGGAGATACGTTGGGTGGGGACGAGGTTCTCTAGGGTTCCAGCACATTATCCTGATCCAGTAAATCCTGGCCACTACATATATCAACGTGTTCAAGACTCCGACTATGCTGAATGATGGACAACAACAACCTGTAGACAACAACAACCTGTACGCCGAATGATGGACAACAACAACATCGATCTGTTTCGCCCCTAGAGCCGATCTAAAACGGTTTTTTAAAAAGACGGTGCCATTTCATCTGGCAATAGTGAGAAGGTGAAAGAAGCAGCAAGTCGGTATTTTTGTTGAGGAGAAGCACGTGTTTGAGTATATCAGACATCTTAAGGAACTGCAAGTTGTATCTGCGATAAGAGAGAATTCAGGATTGTATTCCTTCGATTCCAGGGAGGGGACATTAAAAATTTTAGAAACGTGGGGGGGGAGCATCGAAAATTTACCAATAACCTCAACAGGGGCCCTGTAAAAATATGGGCTTTTTTCAAGACATCTTCACCCCCTCCCCCCCCTCCCCTCGGCGTAATAAATGTACTTTCCCTAACAGCGATGAAAATAATTACCACTTTTATACCTTAGATTGGTTAAGCAGGACGTTCTTCATTTTCGTTATAGTCCAGGGATGAAAACGTTTAACACGATCACATAACTGATGAACAGCAACAGATAACCATGGTGATTGTCTGAAGTTCTCGATTATTTGTATGCCGACGTACCAGCCAATGGATGCTGATGCTGTGACAACAATACTTATCAACAGCGGTACGATAAGCATTCCACCCAAAACGGGTAAAGAACCAAGCAACAGCAGAAAAACCATCAAAAGAATTCCTCCCAAAGAAAAGAATATTGGAATGTATATACCTAGAAACAGCAGCGTCAAAACATACACTTTACAGGTTTTGTAGATAAGCAGTAATGAATTTCGCAAAGAAAATATTATGGTAGACGTATCATGCTTCCATGCATGCAGAAGATTGATTACCAAGACTTTCGCCATTCCTATGAAATGAAACAACTCTAGTTAGTATGGAGTTTCGTTTCGATTTGAACTTTTCACCTCTGAGAACGTGGGTTCGATTCTCGCTACGGGCCCATGTGAAAAGAGTCAGTCAACGTGGGTTTTCTCCGGGTGCTCCGGTTTCCTCCCAGGGTAAGTTAATAGGGTGGGTTAGGATAAACATATAGTTAGGAAAGTAATATCACAATTGTTGTAAAGATAATTAGTCTAGGCTAAGTAGATAATACAAGTAAACCTAATGATGTAATCGGTCACTGAAAAGCCCTGTTGCATGGGGAATGAGCTGAATAATATAATTATGTATATGTAGCCTATAACTAGCACGTCACTTTACATACTAACTTTCCGAAAAAACTTCAAGTCACTAATTGAATGTCCTGCATAGAAATCATAAACTGTGCATATCTGTTATGTCAACATACTACAAATTTTTATGTACTGTACAATGCAGTCATAAAAAATTTCGTCGCATAAGCACTTTACTCTGATTTCTTAATGATAATAATTGGATATCGTTCTGAATTGAATCGGGCAGTTTAGATTCAAATCGGAGATCAGGAGGAACGCATCTGCGTGGAAATCGAAAGGTTGGAACCTTAACGTTCGTTACTCTGTCTAACACCAGGCGATTTTACCTGTTTTTGAATAGGCGAGGACTCTGGAAAAATCATATGGGCTAACACATTAATAAAAATCACTTTATCTGATAAAACAAATGCACATACCCGGTCCTGATTCACCGAGATCATGGTCCAAATTTTGAGTCTGTAATGAAATAGAACAATTATTTCATTCCTCTGACTATAGCTAATATACCCTGGACGAACAAGTCCTTCCACGTGAGAACACAATATGTTTCTAACTGAATTTGTTGGAAAATTTAGCCTCACTTCGTTTTCTTGCATGGTCGGACAAACGAGGAAACTTCACATTCGGGAAACAATAGAATTTTCGGATTTTTTCACAACAATCCGTTACTTTCGTAGATTGATCATGCAGGATATGGTATAATAGAATTTTTTTTTAAATAAGTAGCCTGCGCAACATGCGTGCATTGCCGATCTTCCAAATACTTGCGAGCCCTCGGTAATGTTTTTTTCAACGGACAAAACAAAGAGCAACAAAATTAATCAGGAAATTTTGACTGCATTGTATTAAATAAAACAAGCTGTCCCTTCTAGATTTTGCCCTTAGACGTATATATACAGCAATTACAGCAATTTAGTAAAAATCGTTCTATTACCTTATTGTCTTGATATGTCTTAGAAAGTAAATTAATTTTGCTAGAAGACTCTCTAGGTTCTCCTTCAAAGAATTGTCCAACGCTGTCAATATTGCTTGTCGTCATGTTTTTTCAATATATCACTCCTGGAAAATTTTAATAAATGTTATTGTGGTTGGAGTATAGGCCCCTACATATACTGTTTACTGGAAGTCTTGCAAAGGTTTATTCTCTATACGTCAATATATCTTAAGGTTCTCTTCATAATATATGTGTCCTCATGCAGTGGTATATAAGCATATCTAAAGTTAGGTGGCCCATGATTCCTTCGCCAATGCATGTCTATCATTGTTTTATAGTGCATGGTATTTGAGCTAGAGCCAAAATTTCATTACAATCCATTAAATCCAATCACTACGAAGAGTCGAACATCGTGCGATACACGTATGACGTACACGGCTTTTAAACGCACAGGTTGTTGCAAGTTGATATCGACAGGCGTGAACAATGTTGTGCGGTCAACCATGAACAAGTTGTCAACCATGTTGTTCCAAGTTGTTACAGTTGAACAATGCTGTAACAACATGTTGACAATACTGTTCATAGTGGGCGCACAACCTTGTTCACGCCTGTCGATATCAACTTGCAACAAGTTGTTGATTTTCTCAATTTTTACGCGTGTAGGCGAGCGGGGCCGGGGCTGCATCATTTTTAAGTCGGACAGATTATACTTAATCGAGTAATTCTAGTTAAAAGCCGGCTGATTCTACTTGAAAACGCCGCCGAGATTCTACTTAAAAATCGGGAAATTCGTCTTTAAAATCGTGGAAATGACGAAAGGGAAGCCCGGCGCAGTCGAAAAAGCAAGAAATATGCAACGTGCGAAAATGTTTAACTTCCAGGAAAATTTTCCGCCGGCAGAGATGAAAAATAAAGTCTAGAAGTTACCATCACAACGAGTGCTGCCTCAAACTTGACGCTTTCAAAAGATAAATCAGTCGGAATGGACCGACGCATTAAGCATTACACCAGGAAGAAGCACTGCTCTACAAATACATTTTACATCTATGACATCATACTTTATTGATGGGGACTCATACCATTGTATATATCAACTGTCCAAATATTTTCCATATGATAGACGAAATTAAGCAAGATTATGATATTCCACGTGTTTATCGAAACAGGCATTACATCAGTCCACTTTCTATAATTTTATGACGTAGATAAATACGTAATTAATAAAAATGTTTTACGCATGCGCGCGTTTGGAGCCATACACAGATCACAACTTCTGGGCCACAGAATTGTAGAATATGTTAGGCTGCAGCCTGTAGAATCTTGTAAACAAAATGGTGTCATACACTCTTGCTGCGCCATAATTTGTCAGCACTTTGTCAACATATAGTGAATAAAAAGTTTTTAGCAATTTGAATGCTAAACTTTTATTTGAGAAGTAAAAATAGTGCAAAAGTTTAGGTAAATGTTAACATTTACAAGTTCAAATAAATTATGAAAGGTCGTAAAGACAGTTTTGCTTATAAAATATAATAAATTTGCACAGTTGCCACGCGTCGCTGAGGAAAAAATGCAACTGCATGACCGTGAATCAATAATTGTTAATTATTATAGATTGTAGTTGGTAAAAGCAATTTGATTGGCTATTAAAGAGCTTACAGTTAAATCGCGCAATCACGCAACCTACAGAAAATTCATCTGCTAGCAGATAACAGAGTTGTCCGCAAATGAGCCTGCGATGATTAGCAAGCGGTATCTATTGAACACAAACAAATGTATAATAAAACAATAATTGAATTCGGTTTTTGCGATATGCAAAATTATCAAGGTCTCGGTATAATTCTGCATATCACAAAAACTCTCTCCTCCACAGAGGCGATTGGAATGGGCTTACATGAATCTTACATGAACTTGGGGAGAGGAACAAAACCTTCATGTTATAAGCGCGCCTCTCCCCAATCGAAACTTCATGTAAGATTCATGTAAGCCTATTCTAATCGCCTCTAGTCCGCCATCTTAGATTATTGTGGATACGCATCAGAGGATAGGGCCACGCAAATATTTTACCTTACACAAACATGTTGTGATCATTATGACTCCAGAATTATAATTCGATCAAACAACACTTTAATCATTTATTGCGACCAGCGAGCGAGCACCAGCGAGCGAGCTGGGAGCATCCTAATCTGTGTCTGTGTGTATGAAAACGGTGTTACATCAGCCCTCATGCATTGTTGTATACAAACATATCTAAAGGCAAACTCATATATTAGCAAAGGCAGCGGATGGGAGAAGGGCTATAGTTCCCACAGAAGTAGACTTGCTCCAAGTCTCTCTTTGTGGACATCTATATATTGTACATCTATATTGTACGTTACATGACGTACCGCTGAGGGGGAGAGGAGGAAAGAGCAGTGGGAAAGAGAGACTTGTAACATCTGGCAGCAGACATACTTCCGGCTGGTCAATTTCGACCAGCCGGAAGTAGATGGCCGCATTGACTTATCACGTGTTTAGGGGGGGAAGGCGACATCTGGACTTTCAGAGTTATTTGTTTAACATAAGTAATTTTGTATTCACGAGATTTCTTGTAGATTTCACATCACTTTTGACTGCGTGCATTTGGAATTTTGGGCATTATTTTTGCAATTTATTGTAAACAACGATTATAAGAAGAACAGATAAATTACAAATCAGCCGTAATCGTCATAAACCTCGATGACCACCAGTGTTTTTGTGTTTGACAATTTGTATTTCATTAGATATTTATATGCAAGGTCAGTATAAACGGGTTATCATATAAAATGATCATTCTAATGAATGAATTGATAAAACGAATTATTTCTAATATGTACGGCCGCGTTTTTTACACGGCCACTAGTACTGAAACGTTTAGCTTGATTGTTGAATAAATCGATGACTTGCTTAGTTGCTTTCTGTTTTGAGCTTAACCACCGTTTAAGCTAAACGGGCTTGATACAACTGGCCCCAGACTCGGCCCCAGATAAACATTTTTGTATTATCGAGATCGAAACTATAGTAAATTGGAAACCGTGTCAATAATAAAAAACGTGCAATGAACTTATGAACATGCGAAAATTGTCACGCCCAAAATTTATACAAATGTTTAACAAAAGAAACATTTGTATAATTTTTGGGCGATTTGGATTTGGAAGACCGCATGAAACGGTATTTCCGCCGCTGTTATGCCGCCCAG